CCTGGCCCCGTTTTGACTCGCAGGGGCCGGAGGGATTTCAACTCCGAGTCGACCGGACCCATGGGGATGTGAGACTGGTTGGGTTGCTGGAGAGTTTAGAAGTCAAATATGCTCAGAGCTCATAGAGTTCAAGGAGGCCTTATGATTGCTAGATTTGATCAGACAAGGCAGCGCTGCTGATCAGTCGGTCTGAGGATTTGAGGATTTGGCCTGTCACCTGCGTCGCCACTAGAACCTGCAGCTAAAAACTGAAGAGAAGCTCTGCGACCAGTTTCATTGCATCCCAGAGTCCTTCATTCAGATGCGTGTAGATGCGCTTCGCCCAAGACATCGCTCATCCTTGAAGATTCTTGAAGTATGACTTCCGTTGAAAGATGTTGAAAGCATACGAAAGCATGAAAGATGTGTACCTGTCCTCCAGTCCACAGCCAGAGATTCCTTTGAAGCTGATCCCAGGAGCAATGGCGGGGAATTGGGCCTCAAAGTAGCCCCAGACGAGGATGTGAAAATGAGAGCACGGCGGGAAGGGACATTGCTTGAATTTTGAATTTAGTGGTGCATTATTGGTTCATACGGCACCGAGGCCTGCCATGGGCTCCCTCTGCCGGTTTTGCTGTGGTTTCGTGGAGTGGTCCAGGGTCATGGTTCATTGTAGCTGCACGTGGTTGACTCAGGCTTGATGGCTTCCGCCACAGAAAGGGTACGTGGCTGACCGTATACCACTGATTGGCTTCGATTACTGAGATCCAAAAAGGACCCAAGGGATGGGCAGCCAAGGCATGCTGGAAAAGGGACGGGGCTGCATTGCGAGGAGTTCAGAAAACGCCAGAGACGCTCAGACTCTAAGGTCAAACAAAACGCGGTCTACACAAGGCACCCGCAATCTCTCAAACCTTGAACCTACTACACCATCTGACCCTCAATGGGTTTTTATACCTCTGCAGCTCGTGCAGGACCAAAGGGCCTTGGAAATTCTCCAGGTGAACCCAGGCCTGGTTAAGGCCGGGACAAAAAATCATAGAAACTATGCGTAGTTGTGACACCTTGTTATCTTACTAATCAAGGCTGGGCTCCCTTTGATGCCATCCTTGCAGCTGGGTATACGGTGCCTTCTATCCATGCCAGCCATTCTCTCCAAGTTGTACCTTCTTTACCCCGACCCCAAGGGAACGAGCGAGTGCCCTGTGAAATCGTTCAAATCACTTTTGGACGCCTTCAGTCTGCAAATGCCTTGCCAGTCTTGGTGAAGCAAACTGACCTCAAATGGGCTTGACACGGACAGAGACCGGCTGCACATCAAAGAAAGGTGTCAAGCTTGCGGGTAGCTGACTGAACTGGCCACTGGCGCTCCAGAACTTGACAGGAATGGTGTCAAAAGCGGCCATCCAGGAATGTAGTGGCAGGAGACAGGCGCCTGGGAACCTGCGCTTGTAAATTGTAGGTAGCGGTCAAATGCTGTCAAGGATCGCTTAAGACTTCTGAAGTGCGGCTTTTTTGGGGGGGGAGATTTGTATCGTAAGACTAGACGGAGATGTTGGATGTCGGCGAAGCAAGAGACGTGTGCACGATCTTGGTCTGCACCAGAGGTTGTCTTGAGGTGTCGACATGCCGTTCAGGCAGTGAGGTCACTTACCTGTACATTGCCGGGCTTATCATGTTAAGAATTAGTTCCTTGGGTCTTGCGGACAATTGCGCACAGTGACACTGTGTTCAATGCTGTCAGAAATTCTTGTCTGAACTTGGAGTTGACATGTCCGTTTTGGATTGAGATCCGTGAGTAACTCACTCCCAACTCTCACGTCTAATGCTTGCCCGCGCCCAACTGGGGATCTCGGCCTTTCAGATCTCTATCATGTCAAACCTATGCCAGTAGTATGCCATACTTGTTTTCAAAGCCACATCTGGTTCAGTCGAGGATTCTGGCGGTAAATGGCCGCCGGGGTGCTAGCCGACAACTAGTTGCGCTACTCCGACAGCGGCTTGGCCAGATTGTATGGGTTCCTATCCAAGATCATTCAATCGTTTCTTCTTGCCTCCACTCCTTTTCACGCAAGGCCTCCATGTGGGTATTGGGCAACTTGGCAAATTGCCTAGGTACAAGGCCTGTCTGTGGCCCAACAATTGGGCAGCAAAGCATGGTGCGCTTGTGTTATGGGGGTCGGGCCAAGAAGATCCTGAGCCAACTCGAGGGCACACACCGATTGCGCTATGGATTCCATTCCCTGGGAGCAGTTTCTCACCATCAGGGTGCGGGTAACATGTCCGGCAGCTCAGAAAGCTAAGTCAGGCAGCACTGTTCTAATCTAGAGCCGCTGGCGGGCCGGGACAGCATTGCCGAGGAATCAGCCTCTGGTCCTCTTGATCCAGCGAAAGTGTCGGGGCCTTGCTGCGGGTAGATGTGTTATGTTCAGGCTGAGGCTTGACTCCCGGATTCGCGAAGCCTAGGTTGCATATGAGCATTCGGGGCATGCCTGCTTTTGTTGGGCATGAGTGTGTGCTATTGAGACTGTGACCCAGTATTGGGCAAGACTAGATCGTGCTGCGGTTTGAGCCATGGAATCGCGGAGTGAACGAGTCGAGAGGATGGTCTGTGCAAGGCGTTCGACCGTCACAGCGCATAGCCAACGATGAATCAAGGGTTCCACAGGACGTTACTTTTTAAAGGTTGGCACGCTGAGGCCACGCAAAGCCTCGTGGTGGAAAAGCTGGAGGCCTTTCACTACTCTCTTATGGGTCAGGGCATGCAAAAGAATCCCTGCATCTTTGTGATGTGCAGACTCGGAAGGAGCACGCGGCAACGTATCGGCCCACAACATCAAAGAATCACGGGAGAAATCCTGCCATTGACGAGAGCGTGTAAGTGAACGCAGCTGCGGCTGTGCGTGTGTCTTAATTAAAAAGTGAACAACTTGAGGTTAGCTTCATCAGATTTGTTTGCAGCGTTATGCTTTTAGGATCCGTTAGGCTTGGCTGCTCCTGGATAGCTTTTTCTTTCAGGCATCCGCTGGACCTGCCTCAGTTCTGGGTTGGGGCACATGGGGTGCGAATTCGGGTTCTCAGGAGTGAAACAGGGATTGCCTTGCCGAGCGTGACTCTGAGTGCGGCAGGCAAAGGCAAAGGAAAGGGCCGCACTCGTGAGGCCGACTGTGCTCGGGGCCGGTTGAGTTTAAGAGGCAAAAAAGCTGTGCTGCAGATCCTAAGGCTTCAGGAAGGGTTGTTCTGCCAGTGTCACTAGTATTATCGAGTTTGTAGATTTTTGGCTTGTTTGCAAGCCCATGCCATACAACCTTGAACGCCAATACAAGCCTGGAAGGGCATTTAGAACAAAGTCGGAAAGATGGATGCAGAGGGGTGCAAAGCCATGTTTTAGCCACCAATTTTGGACATTTGGAACAGTTGCTCTTTCGGCCCCAGAGCACAAAAACGGGTGCTGCATGGCGGAGGGGTGCACAGAACAACAGCTAGCTGCCCCGTAGGCCAGCAAAGGCTGCATAGGTTGACAGCCTCTCGGATTTGGGTTCCCACATATTATGTGTTCAAATTGTATGTCTGATGTGCCACTGTGACAGAAACTTCCGCGGAACCTCCTATCTCGACTCCAAGTCTTGAGCTTATTAGGCCACCGCGCACGGTCTGCAGAATCCATTCCTCTGCAGGCTTTGCAGGCACGGCCAAGCCCATGGCCGAGGCCAACTCCGAAGGTCCCCGGAGCTTCAGCTCCTCGGCAATTTGATTTCATACCTTTCAGCCACAGCCTACTTCCTGCAGAGGGACTGGTGGCTACAACTGAGGCAAAGAGCCAATCTCGACCCTCTCTCAGGCCTGTCCACGGGGCACTGCAGGTGTTTGCACGAAGGTCTGGATTCCGCTTCCTAGCAACTTGCTGCTAAAGCATGGGCAAGTGAAGCTCGGTGTTTCATCGTATTTCTGCATGGTCTCTCCAAACCAACTGGCGGGAAGTCATTCGCAGCTTTGGCAGGTTCATGAATGGTTGGAGCCGAAACGGCGCGCGAGGACCTGCACTTGCTCTCCAGAAGAGGGTACGGTGTCCGCTATCTCAGCTGTTTGCAATACTTTGATGAGGCGTGGGATACTGACCATACTTCTAAACGGGACATGGAGATGCTGACGTAACTCGCGATGGAATTTAGACTGCTCAGGACGCAGCCGCAGTGAGCGGAATCGCCGCACTCGCGGCCGGCGGGAGGCTTGGCTGCGGCACTTCTTGATCACTACTGGTGTTTGACGGAGTGTGCTGGTTTAGGCTCTGTCCGTTTAGATCTGCGATAGGGCACGAAGGTTGTGGCTCCACGCTCTTCTTTCTCTACAGGAATTATGGAGTCTTCGCACCGCGCCAAAAAGCAATCGTTGTCAGCCTTGGTGGCTGCATGCAGGACACGCCAAAGCGCCCGGAAACGAGGCATTGGACGATGGATACTACTCAAATTCTGAAACAAAGTGGTTCAGCTTAGGCAAGGTCACCTCTCCAACGAGGGCGTAGTGGAGCATGGTGGAATTGAATGTAGTGGAGCATTGGTATTGGTATGGTTTCCGTTTCAACTGTTACAGAGTCGGAACTTGTCGGGCTTCGATTGGCTTCGAGTATGCGGAGGGCGTTAGAGCTGAAGCTGGCGCACAGGTTTCGAGTTGGGTTGTCGGCAGGCCCTGTTGGCAAAGGTTTTTGAGAATAGAGCTGAAAGTTCAGCTGATGTTTACAAGCAGGACTCCAGGACGGATAACAGTCACTGTATGGAAAGGAGTGTTGTTTGTTGTGAGAATTCTCCTTGATGCAAGCTTGTTCGTTGTCTGGCAGCCGGCCCAAGAACCAGCTGGTGCGCGAACAGTCAGCATGCCTGCACTTTTCTCAGGTCCGCTTTGCAGAAACCTTTCACAGACCGAGACTTCTAAGACTTTGCATGTTCTGCGTGTAAAAGAGAAGTGCGACTTCTGCTGCCAGTGCGTGACTTCGCACTGGTAGCGGAGCTAGGTTGCTCCCTGCCATGGCCGTTTCTGAAGCCAAGCCTTTCTGGAAGGACGACGAGATTGCCGTGGACCGAGATGGCATCCCTCACTTTACTGGAGCAAGGCCGGAGCTGATGAAGGAGTATCGCAGAAGGGTGCTTTTCGCCTACAACAACCTCGAGGGCAGTGGCGATGACGAAGCCAAAAAAGCTCGGAGTTTGAAGAAGAAGAAGGCACGCTTTGCCAAGCGACTCCTGGATGCTCTACATGGTGAGGCATGGCGCTCGTGTCAAGATCTGCTTCTGGATGCGGAAGGCTTGCGAAAAGAGGATGGCTACAAGATGGTCTTTGCAGCCCTGCAGTCGATCGAGAAGGTCGGCGTGATCAAGAAGACGGAGGCCTTTGACCACTTCTTCGAGCGCTGCTACCGGAGGCGAGGCCAGTCCATCGACCAGTTCCTTCGGACACGGAGCGAGGGATGGAGCGACCTCCGAGACCTGGCCGAGGGGATCAACATGAGCGAGGACCTCCTGGCCTACTTCCTGCTCAAGAGTGCCAACCTCAGTCGTGAAGAAAGGCGACAGATTCTGCTGGCAAACCAGTCCGACTATAGCTTGGCAGGAATCGAGAAAGCCCTTCGCGTCTCGTTCTTTGACCTCCACGAGAAGGAGAAGGGACGGGACTGGAGCTCGACCGCGACGAGGAAGCCAGCCAAAGGCTTCGGCAAGCGAAGCTATCACGCCCACTTGGCCGAGGACGGCGAGGCTGGCGAGTCGGATGGTGGCACGGCGGACGAGGGCGAAGCCTATGAAGAGGAGCATGCTTTGGAGGCCGAAGCCGAGCAAGGCGAGCAGGAGGAGTTCTCGGACGTTGGCGCGTCGAACGACGACGAGGTCTACGAAGCCTATGTGAGCTACAAGGACTCGCGAAAGAAGTTGAAGGAGATGCAACGCAGCAGAGGCTTCGTGAAGAGCCGAGACGACCAGGCGGAGGACCGACGTCTTGCTGTGCAGCGAGAGAAACAGAGAACAAGGTGCTCTGCCTGCAATAAGCTGGGCCACTGGGCAGGTGACGCTATCTGTCCTCGTCGTTCTGGAGGCGGGCCAGCAAGGGGATCCTCAAGCAAGGGTCGTGGCAAGAAGGGTCGAAGCTCCTCATCTTCCAAGGGGTCTGGCAAAGCCTATTTTGTGTCAGAGGCCAAGCCGTTGTTCTTCTCCCTCGCCGATGACGAGCAGGAGGAGCAGTTCTGCAACATGGTCCGCGACACCGACGGAGAGAAGGACATGGAGCAGGACGCTGGCAACACATACCTCGACAAGCGCCGGAAGGAGGCCAGAGCGGAGCCAGAGAGTGACAGCCTAGTTTGCCCCGTTCGTGCTCAAACGTGACGCCCCGAAGCCCAAGGAGCAGAACCAGCACATCATCGTCAGCGTGCCGGCCAACAAGATCAAGAAGATCCATGTTAAGTCCTTGGCCCTCGCGCGCCCGGTAGGTTTGGAAGAGATGAGGGTCAGGGAGCTGCAAGCCGACTGCGACCGTTGGGGCATTGCAGTTTCCGGGTCCAAGTCCGAGATTCTGCTTCGACTTCGTCGACTTTATGGTGGCGAGATGGTGCTGCAGAAGCGCTACCAGATATGTGCAGTTGGTCCCGGAACCACTGGCGACAGCGGCGACGGCTACAGGAAGCACGACAGCGACGGCATCGGCGGGTAGAATGCCGATGACAGCACCGACGGCTACCGGAACCACGACAGCGACGGCATCGGCAGGTAGAATGCCGATGACAGCACCGACGGCTACCGGAACCACGACAGCGACGGCATTGGCAGGTAGAATGCCTATGACTGCGCCGACGGCAACCAGAACCCCGATGACGACGGCTAGGGCAGCAGCGGCTGGATACAGAGGCGGGAGCACAGCAGCTATGCCCTCCGCTACTTCAATGCCTCAGTCTTCTGGCAAGATGGCTTTTCGCGAGGAAGCGGGGGGAAACCGCCAAGCCGAAGGACCGCTGGTTGACCCACGCACGGGCGTGGTTGTGCCGCCTGAGATCGTGTTCGACCAACCGGTGGCCGAAGTTGTGTGTCGCTACTGTGGCTGCAGTATGGTTCCTAGGCGCCGCAAGGATGGAACAGCTTTCTTCTTCGGGTGTTTCAATTTTGGCAAGTCCAATTCTGCACTTTCTTCCCGATTTGGGAGACCGAGATTTCACCCTCGCTGGCCGGCCGGGCTTACATGGCCAATGGCGGGGACTGCAAGAATCTGAATTCGATCAATGAGCCCAATGAAGTCCCTTTGAATTCGCAGAACGCAGACTTTGACGAAGCGCTGGCTGGTACCAATTTGGACCGGCGCCTTTTTGAGGACCGAGACGGTCACATCAATGAGGCCCACGTGGCCCTCTTGGACACGGCGTGCACGGCCTGCCTTCACTCAAAGAAATGGAGACAAGCCTACAGCTTGACGCTTCCGCCTGGATACCAGTGCACTGCCACTAGCTCCAAGAAGACCATTCATTTCGCCAATGGCGAGAGTGAGAGCCGAATGGTGGTATGGCGCATACCAATCTTTCTTCAAGGCGTGGCTGGTGAGGTGCACTCTGCCGAGCTCGATGCAGGGGCCACGCCACTCCTCTTCTCGATTCCGGCGATGCAGGCCTTGGACATGGTGCTCTGCATGAAAGACCTGAAGGTTGGCATCCGAGCCCTCGACCTCGAGATGCCCATGCAGGTCACACGTTCGAAGCACATTGCCCTGAACATCGCCTTTGACCCGGCGGTCGGTACACGAGAAGATCGGCAAGCAGGCGGTCAGCCACGGGCACATTCCGACGCGGGGGACTTTGTAGCCTACTTTGTGGATGAGGCGCGGCTGCCAATACTTCACCAATGTGCGCCGCCTGTGGAAGCCGAAGCTTTCTGGAATCGGGGCAAGGCAGCTCCGAACCTTGGGCCCCGAGGCGTGCACACCAACGACAAGGTCGGGGAGCTTAAGCAGAGAAGAGTCGACGAGCTGCAGCGAGCGGCAAGGAAGCACCAACTACGAGACCAACGCTCCTGGTCGGCTTTGAGGCGCGACTTCACCATGGCAGAGCAACACGCCACTCGCGGCTTCAAGGACACGGTGATCTTTGAACCCTTTGCCGGCACCTTTGGCATTACGCGAGTTGCGGCGGAGGAGTTTGGCTGGACATGTTCCCAACCGATGGACCTCCTTGACGGCTACGATCTTCTTTCGGGAGCAGGCCGACAGCTTGTGAAGCAGGTATTGGCAGAACATCGTCCGTACCTGGTTGTTTTGGCCTCCGACTGCCGTATATGGTCGCCGTTGACAAACTTGAGTCCAGAACAAGCCTGGGAACAACTTCGTCAAGGAGTTGGGCGACGAGCTTTACAGTTGGTTCGTTGGATATGCCAGGTGCAAGATCGAGCCGGGCGATACTACCTAGTGGAAAATCATGTGGTTCCGTCGCCTGGTTCTTTGAGGGCATCCTCGGCAAGCTGCTGGAGAATGCGCGCGGCAAGTTCCTTTATGGCGACCAGTGTCGTTTTGGGAAGAGAGACTCTGAGAGCAAAAGGCCCGTTCGGAAGAGGACCGGCTGGCTTAGCAACTCGGAGCCCCTCCTGAACCAGCTGGGCAAGCAGTGTGTCTGCCCGCCTGGAGCACATGAGCAAGTTCTGGGGAGCAATGCGGGGGGACTTCGGTCGAAGCAGGCTGCAGAGTATCCCAGAGCGCTTTGCCGCGCTGTTTGCCAAGGAGCTCTCGAGACGATGGTGCTTGACTATGCGGCCGACATGACCTACCATCAGGGCATCTCCTTTGAAGGCGCCTACGAAGGCGAGGAGGAGGCCCATGACTTCGACTCTGGTGACGAGGACCAAGAAGAGCCAGCGGAAGACGAGTGGAGACTTGAAGACGGAGATCGACTTCTACGACTTCATCGTGTTCCACGGCGGCGGCTTTTCCTGCCTTTGTCCTCGACCGCTCCACCATGTTCGTTGGCGTCATTGCAGAGCAGGAGGCGGACAATGATGGTGTTGCAGGGCGGCGCCAGACGAGAGCACGTCGACAACTGGCACGAAGCATCGTGGAACCCGCGTGGGATTGCAATGGACCACCTGTGGACCGGGACTACGGAGTTCCTACTGCAAACGGCCGCCACGGCTTTGGAGGAGGAAATCCAACAGCAGCGCCAGCAACAACCACCACCAGATCAACATGGGCACTTCGACGGGTCAGCGGCGCCTTTCGACTCTGCCGCCTACCCGGATGACCACATGAGTGACTACGAGCCCTCTCTTGTGGATAGGCCAGCCGGACCATATCCATCACAACCACCAGCTTCTCCACATCCACTACCAGAGGGTACCGAGACAGAGCATCATGGCATGGAGGATTTAGCAGCAGCAACAACCACGGCCAGATCAACGGGCACTTCGACGGAGACAGCGCGCTAGACAGCTTCAGCGTGGTTTCTGGACCGAGGTCAGCCAGGAGGACACCGTCGGACTACTAGAGTCGACACTGGACTACGTGCAGCAAGAGGGGGCCAACGGGTGGAACAAGATCAACACCGACACCGATTTGGGGAAGGCATGGGTCTCCCTAGAAGGTGGCAGTGCCGATGTCTCTTTGATCCTTTGCTCCACGGTGGCCCGCAGGTTAAAGAAGCCACAACCACATGCTGGTCCTCATGACGTGCGCCTTCGGCGTTCCTATTTGCTGCTGGATGACGGCACAGTGCTCGCTACGGATTGGGAGTCCTGGGGCACGATGTCACCGGCATCTCAGGTTCGTCCTTTGGTGGCGCCGCAGCGGCGCCTTTACTTGGTGCTGTTCGGGAAGGAGATTGGTGAAGAGGATGCCGGCGAGGAGCCCGATCAGCTACAGCAACGTGAAGAGGCAAGAGAGAGGAAATGGCAAGCTTTGCCAAGAGAGTTGAAGTTGGCGATCAAGCGCGTGCACGAGAACCTCGGGCATGCAAGTCAACCAGCTCTACTTCGAGCCCTGAGGATCGCCAGAGCATCCGAAGTGGCCATTAAGGCGGCTCGACTTTTCCGTTGCCCAGAGTGCCCACGACTTCGAGAACCGAGGCATCCAAGACCATCGAAATTGCCCATCGCGAATGAATTCGACATCATGATTGGCATCGACATTTTCAACGTCAAGGACTCAGCCGGTGAATCATGGACCTCAACACCTTATGTCAAGGAACCAGCTACCAAGTCTGCACCTTGCTTGGCGAGACCCACGGCAACCCGACTGGACGAGTCGTGCTGGAAGCTCTGAACAACTCTTGGATAAATTGGGCCGGGTACCCTGAGAGGGGAATAGTGACAGACCGGGCCAAGTACTTCCTGGCAGAGCTTGCGGAAGACCTCGCGGGACATGGGTGCCAAGTAGAACCTGCAGCTTCGGCATCCCCTTGGCAACTTGGACAAGTGGAGAGGCATGGTGCCATCTGGAAGCAGACTTTCAAGAGGGCGGCGTGGTCGCAACAGGTGGCTGGTTTGCAGGAAGTGCAAGCCTTGACTGCGGCCACCAACCAGAGCAAGAATTCCTTGACAGGAAATCCGGCTTCTCCCCGGCCCAATGGGTCCTAGGCCGGGACATTCGTTTGCCCGCCGACTTGGCGGATGATGCAGAAGTTGCCCGGATTGGGGCCCAAACACTGGCTGCAACACCTGGGAGCATTTTCTTTCGCAAAGCCCAACTTCGGCAAGCAGCGAGGGAAGCCTTTACCAAGACTGCAAATGACGATGCGTTGAGACGAGCAGAGCTTCGACAAGTACGGCCATCACGGGGTCCATTTCCAGTCGGCAGCTACGTGTTCTACTACGACGCTTCAAGCAAGGAGCCCGGGCCAAACTGCTGGAGAGGTGTTGCCAGGGTTGTCGGCAAAGACGGCAGCCACACCATCTGGGTTTCACACCGGGGAATTCTTTTGGCAGTCAGTCCCGAGCACCTGGCCAAGGCGCGCAACGAGGAGGTGAACCAATGGCTGTCAGTCGGGAACGAGGTCGTTCTCCTAGATGCAGTTCCAGCTTCCGCAGGATCCGGCTTCATAGACCTTCGTGGGGCACCGAAACCCCCAGAGCCACCAAGTGACGGCGAAGAACCGAGAGGAGATCTTGAAGCAGCAGGCGGAGACGCCATGTTGGATGCCCCGGAGCCGGAACTCAGTTCCCAAGGGTTTTCTGACGAAAGGGCAGCCAGTGAACGGGACGCCAGGCGAGCAAGGAAGTCAAGTGAGTGAGGAAAAGCGGAGAAGGCGTGGAAGCAAGGGTTCGGCAACGACCGCTGCATCGACTTCTCCTATGCCGCCGCCAATTTTGCCATCGACGCCGGCCGACATTCCTGTTGACCCACATGGGCTTCCTGATTTCGACTTGGAGGGCAACGAGGGCAACATGGAGTTTGACCCAGAGCTTCACGACTACCACCAGGCCATCCCGGCACCAACGTTGTCGCCCATCATTGAAGATGCAGATGGCGAAGCCCGAGAGCGGGAAGCCAAGCGACAGCGTGTTCGAGAGGAAGGCCACCACGCCAACTTCGCCAAGGAGGAGAGCTGCGAGGCCTACCTGGCGGCGGAAGGTGGACGATACCTGGACGAGAAGGTTGTGAAGCACTATGCCCAGCACGAGCACGCCTACCAGACCCTAGGAGTTTCCGAGGGTGACCTTCTTTTCGGTGTTCACCGCAACGACTTCCAGAAGCAGTACGAAGCACTTGCGGTGACGAATCCCAACGACTCGGGTGCGAAGAAGAAGGGCAGGAAGGAGATTCTGTTGAAGGATCTGGACGCCGAGCAGAGGGAGCTCTTCTGCGGCAAGGGCGGCTCGGACGAGAAAGAGTGGAGCGCCTGGAAGACCAAAGATGCTTGCGACATTGTGTCTCCCGAGCTGAGCGAGAAGGTGAGACGCGAGAAGCCCGATCTCATCATACCGACACGGTGGTTCCTGGCCAAGAGCAGACTGGTCGTGCAGGGCTTCAAGGACAAGTCGCTTGGACGTTTTCGTCGGGACGCCCCCACAGCAAGTGCAGTTGCTGAAAGCATTTGTTTGGCAGTTTGCGCCTTCTTCAAGTTCACGCTTTTCGCCAAGGACATCAAGAATGCATACTTTTCTGGTAAAAGCGTGGACAGAGAGATATATCTGGAACAACCCAGAGGAGGCCTTCCAGGTTTGCTGCCAGGACAATTGCTTCAAGCCAAGAAAGCCATTTATGGTTTTGCTGAGGCGGCCAGACTTTTCTGGCTGGCTTTGAGGGAGCACCTGCTTTCCGATGGCTGGGTCGAGAGCAAGCTCGAGCCAGCACTTTTCTACTTGCGTCAGCAAGGCCGTTTAGTTGGCATTCTCGTCACCCATGTTGACGACCTCGAGGGCGGTGTCAATGAGAAGGTGATCAACTCAGCTTTTGAGCGTTCGGCAAGAGCTTTGGAATTCGCTACCAACCACTACAAGGATTTCATCTTCCGTGGACGTGAGGTCCGCCAGAACGAGCACAACCACATCGATGTCTCCATGAAGAACTACGCCCTCTCCATGAAGACCGTGAAGGTTGACTCTGGAAGACGGAAGGAGTTGAGGTCCGAGCTCACGCCAGAGGAGCTCAGTGTTTTCCAAAGCAGCGCCGGTGAGCTTGGATGGACCACGCGTCAACTGAGATGCGACTTGGCATACGAGAACGGCGTGGTCCAGAGAAGCAAGACGGACACCTGCGTAGCAGATCTTCTACTGCTCAAACAATATATCGGCCTTGCCCGAAGAGGGGCAAATTTCCGACAAAGATATTGGTCGGATGTTGATTTGGAAAGTGGCGTAATCCTGCACCTCGCGGATTCAGGCCACGCCAATGGCACTCCTGACCACAACGAGGAGTTGAAGTACAGAAGCGTGGGCGGATACTTCATCATGATCGCCAACCCGGAGATCCTGAAGGGCGAGGAGGCAAGGGCCAATATCCTGGCCTACCACTCCACGCTTACAAAGCGAGTTTGCCGCAGTACACTGGCGGCTGAAGCCAGCCACCTGGCTGAGGCGGTGGAAGCTGGCGACTGGATCATCGTCTTGATGGAGGAGGCGCTCACGGGCTATGTCGACTTGAAGAACTGGGACAAGATCATCGAGCAGAGGAAGAGGGCGTATGTCACTGACGCCCGTTCTGTTTACGATTATCTTCAACGAGACGCAACGTCGACTTCGAGCGACAAGCGGATGGCGATAGAGGGTGCACTACTTCGTGAAACAGTTCGCCGCGATAGGGCCTACGTCAAGTGGATTGACGGGCAACAGAACATCGCCAACGTTCTCACGAAGGCGAATGCTGAGAAAGACATCCTTAGAGACTTTCTTCGAACGGGTCTCCTCTGCTTAACCCAGACAGAGGCCAACCGCGCCTTGAAGGAGCGCAAACAGCAGCAGAGGCAGCAGCGCAAGAAGGTCAAGGATGAGCACCAGTACCGCAAGGCGCATCTTCGAGCTCTTCGGCGCGAGGATGTGGCAAAGCAAGTTGAGGGCATGGAGCTGATGGACGACAACTTGACCGACAACGAAAAGAAAATAGAGGAGTGTGAGAATTCTCCTTGATGCAAGCTTGTTCGTTGTCTGGCAGCCGGCCCAAGAACCAGCTGGTGCGCGAACAGTCAGCATGCCTGCACTTTTCTCAGGTCCGCTTTGCAGAAACCTTTCACAGACCGAGACTTCTAAGACTTTGCATGTTCTGCGTGTAAAAGAGAAGTGCGACTTCTGCTGCCAGTGCGTGACTTCGCATTTGTTGTTAGTTTGTAAATGGTTTCAGGCAGTATAGCTCGCACCCAACGGCTTGCACTTCAGCATTTCGATTTTCCTTATGCGCAATTGTGCTGTGGCAAGGCACCTGTTCTTCACTGAGGGGCTTGGTCTGTGAGGTGGTGCTTCCGTGAATAGGAATGAATAGATGATCATAACGAAGTGATTGGAGATCTCTGCATGGCATCTGCCAGCAAGCGATAACTTTGCCTGCCCACTAAATGCTTGAAGCTTCGCTTCATTCACGTTACTTTGCTTCTAATTGCTTCCTACCAGCTGGCACAATCCCGACATCCAAAATGCAACCCAACAAGCCTAAAGCGAATCGTTCTAAAGTCATGATAATCAAGACCTAAGGTAAATTGAACAACCGCTCCTGAGGCGCCCTGTGCCACAGCCGTCCCCCGAAGAGTTGCAGGCTGGGGCTCTGAATGCGAGAGGGCAACAGGCACCAGAGCAATAATTTGGTGGCAAACTGCGCAGTCTTGTTCAGCAAAGGCTATAAGACATGGAGTAGCCCGTGCTGCAGATATACAGGCATGGCCTGTTACGATTGCACATTGCACAAGCGAGACGTTCTGGAGCTTATGTGCTAACGCTGGTCAGCAAGAATCCCTCTCAAGATTGATGTTTGTAAGCAATTAGAAAGTTCGAAGGGGGCACGACGTGAGTCTGCCTCGTAGGGATGGTCGCGCCAGAGGACGTTCTAAGGAGATCTGGGATTGGAGATCGCTAGCACGTGCCGCCCCACCCGCATAATTTTCAGAGGCACGCTGCGGGGGGCTGGGAAGCGTGGTAGTAGGAAGCGGGGTAGCGAGGCAGGGATGGGAGAGAGGAGGGAGAAGTGGAGGCGAAAGGGTGAGGCTTTGAAGAAGTCAAGGACGGGGGGGACAAGGCGGAAGGAGCCTCCAGAGAGAGCGTTCCGCAGGAGGGACCGTTGAACTGCAAACGGATGCGCGAGAGGAGTGTGACAGGGTTGGGGGGGTAGCAGGGGGGAGGGGATAGGCTTGGTATTCCACCATGCAGGGCGGATTGCTTGTAGGTTGAGCCAACGTCTTGAATTTCTTGCAGTGCCTGAATTATTGCATTATGCGCAAGATTTCCAGCTTTCGCGTGTTGCGTCTGCGCCAGCTTAAGAAAATCATCAAGCATACCCCTTGCCCGACGCCACATGTACGGGTCCGATCGCTAAGCATTTGGGTAGTCCAGCCGTGGCCAGGAGCGAAAAGAACTGGAGATGTTGAGCCATATCGCTCGAGGGCTTGTCTGCGGAGTGTGTAGCCAGCTCAGGGGTGGGTATTGCAGGTTTGTGTTTTGGCATTTGTGGTTGGGGATTGTGCGTTTCGCAATCACGGATGACATCCTGGAGGCTTCTTTGCTTGAGCTTCAGCGTGTGGGCTTCAAGTCAAGCAATGTCTTGTTCAGTTTGCCTTGGCACGGCTGGCCTCATGAACAGCGAGGAGAGCCGTGGCTCTGTAGCCTTCGATGGTTGTCATAATGTTGTCATGCTGATCAGCTAATCATCCTTGGGCTTCTGTTGGCCTGAGATCTGGACTACTGCGGTCTCCGGTGGCGACCGCCCGCATAAAATGCTGACATGCCCAGGCATGGGTCCGTTGACGGGCGCTTGCGGCACGCTGGACCTTCGGAAGCGCCATGCCTGCAAGCTTTTTCGAGTGGTAAGGTTTCTGGGGGCGATGAGGCGATGTGTGATCTGAGTGCCTTGCGGAGTGCTTTCTTGGTACAGTCCTCCGACGAGATGCAAAGGTCCAGACCCATTGAAATCCCAGAGTCCTCATGCCACTGAGCCGTGTCGGTCAAGAACACGCCAACTGCTTAAAACCTGTCGCAGGTGTGGGCACCGCGTACACGCGGAGTGCCTCATCGGTGCTGAGCGAGATCCGTCAGGCTAGCTCGCGTCCGAAGTCATGCCACTGAAGCAAAATGAGGTCTTTCCCACGCAATGCTCAGGAGGGAGACAGTGCCTTGAGTAGGGTCCACTGACACAGGAGGAGATTGGCAAGTGTCAAGTGTCTCCCACCTTTTCTCTGCTCGTTGCAACTGGCAGTGGCGGGAGGGAATTGAAATCAAAGCTGGCAAGGTCATCCGCGCTGCCAGGCATGTGCCACCCAAGCACAGCTAGGCGACTGGCTGGGATACATAGGAGCGGGGCAGGCAGATTCTGCTGAGATGGAGCACAAGGGTTCTTAGCGTATGTATGGGACATTGGGTTAGAGAGCTTTGGAGACCTAAGTTTTTGGAAGTCTTAATGGCTGATTTGAAGGCTGAAACTTCCTTGTGTAGCGTGAGTGGGCACCTCTCCGCTGCCAGGGCAACGCTTCCGGGATCGCGAGGCCTTGAGCATTTTTGGCGATCTTAATGACTTGGCAGTTCCTTCCTGATACTCGCGTGTGGTTTCCAAAGCTCATGCAGGAAGCTTGTGTCCTAAAGGTAGTTATTCTGCAACGGTGTAAGCTTGCGACGGCAAAGGGAAGAAAACACCTCATCTTCATCTCTAGCGGGCGACAAGCACGTTGAAGGATATCTGAGCTGCCGGTACAGGATATCTAGCTGGGGGATCTGTCTTGTACAGTCGATTTAGGTTCAGGTTGGGTTAAGGACCCAGGGCATCTGGCACCGCGCCGTGCGGCTTGTTCAGACTTCTACAGTGCATCCTCGCACAGAAATCGTGCAGCTGTCGTAGCATGGCATCCAAGATAAAAGCGTACGCGTGCAGCATGTGCCAATCACCGCTACATGCAAACGAAAAGAGGGTGCACACTGCACCCCTCCTTCCTTGAAGGCCGCTGCAAAGCGTCGTGCCGAGCCCCAAAAGGCATGGCTGCTTTTGTGATTCAATGACTTCAGGAACTGTGGCATAATTCTCATTGCACGTCGCTTGCAAGTCCGGACCATCTGTTCGACGTAGACCCAAACGGTAGTGACTGGTAGTGGCTGCATGGTGCAGTCTAAATCTTCAGATTCATTACATGAAGGCCAGTGCCTACCAGGACAAGCGCCAAACCCTCATGATCCCTCAAGACATTGATACTCAAGCCATAAGCCACGCGTTGTGGTTCTTTAGGCAATCCGCCCACGAGCCTCCCAACCCCAGAAGGCCCCCCACAAAGATCGCGAACAGTCGCGCAAGAGGCGGGCCATGAGTTTCCATTGATCGAGCAGTGTGGGGTTTTGGATAGTTTTGGTCTTGGAGTCGGGGTTGGTGCATTTGGCATGTGAGGTTACGGCCGACTTGGAAGATCTAGCTGAGGAAGGTTAATGTACATTGACAAAGGGTGAAGCACCTCGCACCAGAGTTTCCAAACACTCCCTGCAAGTTTAAGTTTGGCAGGGTTTCATCGGGCTTCCCGGGTTTGCCAAGGATGCTGCAAGCAATTTCCCAAGGCTCCCCAAATCGCCCAAAGAGACCAAAGAGTCATCTTACTTAAGAAATCAATTTCATGAAGTGTGTTGCTATCGGAGTGTCCGCGCTCTGTGCCGTTCAGCATTGGACGAGCCTGGATGTTCCCCCCAATTACCAATGCGTTAAGGCTGAACTGTAAGGCCTCTGCATAAAGCGCCTTGCTGCGTTGAGGATCTAAATTGCCTACAGTACAATGACCCTTACCCAGTAAACTGTCAGGATCAGTGAGAGCTGCCGTCCCCGGGTTTCTGGGGCGTGTCTCCTCCAAGCAGGTTCCGAGGAACGAGAAATTCTTTACCCGCACAGTTATTTCGCTAGGATCTACATTATCTTGCCTGAAGGGAGGCCGCGAGGCCTGCAAGAAAGATGCAGATCCCTGCGTCATTTCAGACACAAGAGATGTTCCTGTGGAGGTCAGAGCGACGCCGGCGAAGCCGCAGCTCTTCAGGGCGGGGCTTGGGGGACGCCAGTTTAGCTGTCTTGGGGGTTTCGCAGCGCTTGGCCGCGGATTAGCGTCGCATGCGAGCACGTGTTAACCCTGTAGATTTGCGCAGCCACCATTACTTTGGGATGCTTGGCTTTGACACATCTTTCCGGACTCTGCTTTACAGTGTTGGGGCTTCCAATGTCAGATGTTTTGCACCGACACATTTGTCTTTCATTCTTCTTCACTTGCATGTTTGTTGATCTGTGTTGCCTTTTGTGCTAGGGCAGGAAGCTTCCCTGCTGCTACTCAATGTCTGTCCCCACACACCTTCCACTGGCATTTTGTGAGGTGCTGCGAGATGTCAGCCGGGCTCTGTGCAGTGTTTATCCATGGGGGAGCAAGGGTTTGCACCGCAGCGTCTGGGCTTAAGTTAAGCCAAGTCTTACTGCAAAGCATGCGCATCAACAGCCACAGCCAACCCACCCTGACAATGACTGTACTATGGTCTCTCCAATGTCTCTTCTTAACTAGCATATTGAGTCTGAAGAGCAACGGCTAAATAAGCTCAATGGTCGAGTTGCCTGCGTCCCCGAATTCATCAACCAGCACACAAAGAATTACCTTGGTTGAGCCAGTCTCCCGGGTGATGCCAATGCCATACCTGCCGAATGCCAGGACAAAGACTGCAGGCCATAGTTAAATGTCTGAGCTGCAGGCTGCAGAACTTGTGGATAGCAGGTCATATTGGAGTGAAAGACCGTAGACGGAAGTTGCTGGAAACTGTTGGATCTGACCCTTCCAAACGTGCAAGACGCACACGATTCTTACATGATCGTCCTGGTTGCTTGGCAAATCGATGTCAATATAGGCAGTCTGCCCTGCAGCGAAGCTCAAATCAATGCAAAACAATGTGACAAGGCTACCATGCCGTTACCAGACGAGGCAAGG